CGATACAATAGTCTTCGTTAGGCTTAACATCGACGAAAATTCAACGCAAAGCGACACGCAACAGAGAAAAATTTCAACATGGGATAAATTAATATATTTTTTCGTACATGATTCGTTATCCGAAAAATAAGTTATCCGAACCACCCCAGTCCCCAATTGATTCGGATAAACGACGCTCTACTGTAATTACATAAATAAATGCTTATCTGATTGAATTTTACTTTCTTTGAATTCTTTTATGAGTATTATTTTTTTTCTAAATATCTTTATGAAAATTTTGGAGTCGTGTTATATTCGGGCTAATACGGTATATTATTCTGCTCATGAAAAATAAAAAAAATTAAGGTTGAATATAAAATGCAGAATCACTATTGATAAATTTTTTTCAGCAGTATTAACTACAAGTAACAAATTAAGAAATACATATATAAATAAAATTGATAATTATTTGGTATGGTAATTAGACTTCTATATATAATCTAATAAAATTTAAAAATTATTGAACTTACCCATGTGAAGATGGAAAAGAAACTGAATGCAATACTTGCTCGAACATTATTTACTCCAAAACCTCCTTTTGGCATTGAAGATTTTCTCCATGCATCACAAAGATAGCAGAATCCAACAAACCATAGAAAAGCCCAAAATGCTGAAATTTTTAAGTCAGCATATTACATTCAACTATATTTTTATTTTGTAAATTTTAATTTACAAAAGTTTATTTCATATAGTCAAATTGCAAATACACAAGAATACCATAAATTATATATAATTATTTGTGATCCCTAGTAATCAATATTCTGTATTATTTAAACTAATGCCAAAATTTTCAGAAGTTTTTTTGAAAAAACTGAGGAAATTCATATAACAAAATTTATTGTAATTTGCCAATAAAATGTAGTAATACGGTAAGATTACAGAAAAACATTACTATTAATTGTAATTTCATTTTGGTAAAATCATCAGGAGCATACAGGATTTCAATCTGATATAATATTGTGCAGAAAATAAATAAGCAATATAATCATCTCAATAAATTATACTGATCCTTTGGATATCCTCACTTTCAACAAAATTAATAAGAAATTGAATACTATGCATAAAATGGAAGAAAATCATCATCTTGAGCTGAATAGAATCTCAAATAAGCCTTATACAGAATTTATGAATCTCATTTCTATATGAGCATCAGAGGTAAAAAATGAAATAATGTATGTTTAATATGCTACTCAAATTGCCACCAAATAGTATATAGTATATTATTATTAGTATCTTATTACATACAATAGTTTATTATTGCCACCAAAACATCTCTCCCTGGTATTGGAAATATTTGTTCTCTTTAGAAAAAAAATGTATATATAAATTGAAATTTAACTATAAAATGAGTCTTCATTTATCATGAAAAAAACTGACTCACTGACTGGAAGTATATCTGCTTCCATCACAGGAATTCAAAAACCATTAGAGGAGTTGAAGGAAATAACAAAACAAATCTTTCATGTTTTGTGTTCCCTTCAATTAAATTCTCAATAGTGGTAGGCTGACTCCTTAATGCATGGTCATCTGATTAATACCTAATAGAGAAACAAAAATTGTAAGATTAAATATTTAATGGAGAGTATAAGCAGAAAAAAATGTGATACAACCCTGCCAACAATAATAAGTGGGTATAGCTGCTGATATAATAACAGTTAAAATTAATTGGAATATGTGATAAAGTATTTTCTAAAAATGGAGTACAAATGTACCACAAATATTTAAAATTAGATTTTTTGCTTTTAGAACCAAGCTCACTGTTTTCTTTGAGAACTACCTATGAGACTGAATATTTTTACTTATTTACAGAAAAAATTTTATTTATTTTTATTCATACATATAAAATACATATCTATATGTAATAGACTAATAAGTAGATAAATTTGAATATAAAACTAAGGAGCTAATATTTTAAAATATTTGTTTTCATTAAAAGTATCCAAAATAATAGGTCTCAAATTATAAAATAATTAACATCAAAAAGTTTCTCTTTTTTAAAAATCTACTTATAATGTTTTTGCTAATTTAATTAATCACATTAACATAATTACCAGAAAATCCCATATCAACCATCACAGCACGGCGACGAATCTTAACACTTGAGAAGCTCTCAAACAAGGCCTCTGTAACCAGGAATGCAATACTTGCAAGGAAGGCAATTACACCAATACCTACTCCAAAGTTACAAGCATGGATGTCATCATTAAAAAGACATTTATCTTCTAACCATCCTTCTGAAGCAATACATCCAAAAACTACTACAGCAAATAACTGAAAAATAAATAACTTGTTTAATTTTATATATTTATCACCTACTGTTTACATAAAAAGTTAAATTATATTAATGATTTCTAATTTTAATGGAAAAATTTCTATTAAAATTATATCAGAAATGTATTGAGATTATATGACTAGAATTGACAAGATTCCATTTATATTAATGTTACTTTATACCAGGGCTGCAGAGTCGGTAAAAAAACACTCAACTCCAACTCCTGATAATTTTAGTAGGCCGACTCTGGCAAAATTAAATGCAAGTCATTTTATGGGGGGCAGAGGCGCTCTAGGGGTTTACCCTACTCTGAACTCTAACAGGAGCCCTGGGCATTTACCCAAATACTTTTATAGTTAGTATTTTTAATATTTATTTGTATAAAAAAATTAATTTTTAACAAATATTTAATAAGAGGCAAAAGGGGAGTGATAAAATTCTACATCTACATATCTTTATTCTACAGCTTTTGCACTTCAATTTCACCTTTCCATAAAAGTTAGTCCAACTAAAAAGTGTGCAATCGAGCTACTTCAGCCCCTTGTTCAGAAAAGAAAAATATATACTCTGATCAATTAGTCTGGCTCATTCAGAAAAATAGAGTACTTATTTAGAGCAGGAATAATAAAGGAAATCGAAAATATTCAAATTCAATTGAGTCAAAATAATTTTACTACTAAACACAAATATTACAAACTAGCAGACCCTGCCACGTGTTGTTGTGGCTCAAAATGTATCTATTATAAATGTATAACATTCCCCCGTGGGGGGATTTTTCGAAAAATCCCTTAGTGTACATTTCTTGACGTACCCTATTAAAACACAATCAAAAACGCAAAAAACCGCATCTGAAATAGTATAAATAGAAGCAGAGTACTTTACGGTAAGCCTTAATCCTGTCCATCTCCCCTGGGGGGAATTTCGACATGTATATTATATAAAAACACGTACGTATTCAAATGCAGCGTTGTGTCAAAATTTCAAAGGAATTGGTAGGAACAAACAAACATTACATTTTTATTTATATAGATAGATAGATGATGATCTGCTTTAGTTCATTTTCACAGAAATGCAAACTTAGGGCGTCATACTTGTAGCGCCATCTGTTGACATAAAAGCCATAACCTAGATTATATATTTTAATTTATATGAATGTTTAATAGAATAATATACAGCCTATGTCCACCCTGAGGTTCCATTCTAAATATTGGTGAAAGAATTTTTGAAATTGGATGAGTAGTTTCGGAGATTACCTGCTGCAAACAAACTTACAAACATTACGTGTTTATAATGCAGTGGTGCCTCGTATAATGTACGCCTCAAATAATGGACGCTGCGAACAACGGACTTTCTGTTTGGCCGTTACATGACTCAAGCAACGGACTGGTTGCGAACAATGGACTTTCTGTTCGGCAGTTACGCGAGGTGAACAATGGTCTTTCTGCGAACAAGTGCGAATGATGTTTCCACTCTTTTGCCGTTGCCGATGGCAATCTGCTATTTTTATTATATATTAGTATAATTAGAAAATATTATTAGTATATCTGAAGTACAGAGCTTCCGTTGGGATTCGGCTTGCTTCCTTGTTTATTATGTACAGTACATCACCTCAGTGCAGGGTATTTACATTTATTCAAGTGTTGTGCAAATCATGGCTTCTAAAAAAAACAGAAAGGTGATTTCAATTGAAACAAAGCAAGACATCATCAGAAGGAGTGAAAGTTGACAAAAACTTCCTTGTCAAATGGGGAGAGGTTCAGGAGTTTACCAACACTCATTATCCAAACAGAGCTGAAGCCAACAGGATCAATGATCTCTACAATGACACCCTTGCCCGTCATTTCCGACAGGTGTTTAAGAAGAGAGAGAGACAGACCACCTTGGACATGTTTTTCAAGAAGCCTGCTGTCAAAAAAAAGGATGTAACAAGAGGAGTTGACCCTGAAAGCTCCAGTAGCCTCTCCTGAATCTGACTCCGATTAAAAAACAATAAAAAGAGACCTGCTGAAATGTGTACAAAGTCTGTATCTATATGAATGTGTAAAGAAAGTGTTCCTCCACCTCCTCCTCACATTTGACTACCCAGCATAATTGGTGACTGCTCCATTTTCATTTTTTTATGGTACAGTACGGTTATTTTATGCTGTGGAACACATAAAAATGCATGTATTTCATTGCATGTATTTTTTATGCATGTATTTCTATGAGAAAATGCATTTTGTATAACGAATGTGCACCTGGAACGGATTAAGTACGTTATACGAGGCACCACTGTATTAGTATAGATAAAAATATATACATATATAATAAATTAAATTGTTGCATTTTGTATTTAAAATAAATGGTTTATAACAAAATAGAAAAACATTTTAAAAAATTATTAAATATAAAATAAATTTTCTTTCATTTAGACAAAAAAACATCTAAATTAAATTTAAAATGCCAGAGTTGGAGTTGACACATTTTTCCCGACTCTGACTCCTCTGGCCAGAAATTCCTTCCAACTTTGACTCCACAGTCCTGCTTTATACACTTATATCTATAAAATTTTTAAAAATTAAATATTTTTTAATAGTAAAAATTTCTTTTTGCTTATATTTATAATAATATTAATTTCTTCTTTTACCAAAATGACAAATTTTTCTTAATATCAAAATGCAGTTATTTTAAAATCCATACCATTAATAAAATATCTATAAATAGTATGTACAAATAAATAACACCTAAATGCAACTTCCAGCAAACAACAGTAACAAATTTGCTGGTCAAATGTTTTTGGCCATGTTATCAATCCTCATCAGAAACTTAATACAAAAAAAAAAAACAAAACAAAAACAGTCCTATCACTCAAACATTGCCGCATTCCAATTTTTAAACATTCAAAAAGATGTTTTATCAAGACAGTGTTTATCAAGACAGTGATGCACCATTTATATCAGAAATAAAACATGCAATTTTTTTACAAGGTATAATGTTACAAAATGACATCTATATATATAAAAATGAATGTATGTCTGTGTGTCTGTCTTATGTCCTTCATGCATTACTACACCGTTTATCCGATTGCCATGAAACTTTGGGAAGTTGTTTAATATACTCCCGCGAAGGTTTCTGGCATAGTACATTTAACCCACGATAGATGGTGCGAGTTTATACGAGTGTATCGAGACAGTGTGTTCGATCAATTTCAAATTGTGAAGACCATTTCCCCCTATTTCAAAAAATATCTCTATATATGCATTTGTGAACTGTTATTTACGATATTTGTAATAATTTTTGTTTAATCACTTTATTTCAACTTTTTTTTTTTGCTAATTATGTATTCGCTCGAACTTTGTTAAAACCTTAACTGTATCCCGAACAACAACCGAAGTCATAGGAGGAAATTCGCCTATTTTACCGATCTAGGAATCCCCCTTTTCCAAATTTTAATATCGACTCAAAATAATTTAAAAAGACAAATTACAATAAAACGGTTTATTATCCAACTATCAGAAATTTCACAACATGCCAAGGAAGAGAGGAAGGAGCAATTAAATAATTAAAATTATAAAGGATTTAAAAATATATATAAAAATGGGGAATATCGCACTTCTGACAATCGCTGCGAGTGTGTGGGTTAAATTTGGAGAATCCGTGCTTGTCGAATGGACAGCTGTATGTGGCCGGCTCACGCGTCGGAAAACCTGATTTATTCGTGTACGCACCAGACGGAAAAACAAAAAATATCGTGTATCCACAAGCGCTCCAATAAATAAATAGAATTGAAACGATACTTTGAAATGTTTTACCAATGAAAATGAATAATAATAATAAGTTTCAATAAAAATGATAAAATGTAAATTGAATTTTATCATAACGAGTTTGCTTAAATTTCCTTTCTTCTGAGATCGCAGCAATGCGCGACGAGTAAGCTAGTTATTAATAATATTACATTCTGTGATAATTTTTGAAATAGTATGTAATAGGTAAGTCAGACTTTTTTGTCACATGAATTCAGTTTGTATGTTCATGGAGAGAGACGCTCAATACGAGATCTTCAATTTCAAAATTGAACTTATCAAATAGATAGAAATTATACTGGTGTAGTTTCTGATTAGCAAAGAGAGCAAAGGCATAAATTAAAAAATGTTAAGATAGGAATGTTATGCTCTGTTTTTTGGATACTTTATGTTATTGGTATTAGTATTTATTAATATTGGATAATAAAGAAAATGTAAGTACAGTAATACCTCGACTTACGCGAACCCGGAGTTACACGATTTTCAAATCTCGTCGATTTGTCTTTTGTTTGAGCGCCACGCAACTTTTGATTACTCACCCCCCCACACTATTGTTCAGCTTATTGTTCAGACGTGTTGCGCGGAATTGACACATAGCTACAATTTATTTTGTGTTATTTATTTCTGTGTTTGTTATATCTATGGAGCCTTGAGAGACTCTATGTGGTGATTTCTTGTAACCATGAACGAATCAAAAGACGAGATAAAATTAACGAGAACATTTATTAGCTTACATACATCCGACTTGGATTTTACACAAATTGCGAAATTATACCCTGACTTACGCAAATTCGAGTTATGCGATTATCGCTCGGTCCCACCTATCGCGTAAGTTCGGGGTATTACTGTAATTTTATCTTATCTTAAATATTCTTGTCAGATGTAATATCATTATTTTAAAAAGTTTTTTATACAATTGTTATAGAATATTGTAACCTGCTGAAGAGACCATAAGGTCTGAAACACAGTGTGTACAGATGAAGCCCAAGTAGACAATATAGAAACACAAATATAAACAGTAAGGATATAGAGGTAAAAAGAACTACCAAATAGAGTTGTAGACTAATTCAATTAGAAACTTCAGACTAGGATGCATTAAAGAGAATTAAAAGGAATATTTTAATCTTGCAAGCGCTTTCAACATAAATATATATGTCATCCTCAGGCATTTCGATTTTGAAATGCCTGAGGACGACATATATATTTATGTTGTATAA